AATATCAATATGAAATGTAAATAATTGTTTTTTTTTTTTTTGGTTGTGTAAAAAATTCCACAAAAATAATTAAATTGCAAATTGTATTGTGCAATTTAATTAATAATATTTAATTTAAATTAATAATTTTAAAAATAATTTTTAATTACGATTCTTACGCCACTATTTACATTACCTAGGAACTAAATATTGGCTAATGCACAACAAAAAACAACAATTTTTAATTTAAAATAATTTAATTAATTTTCATTTAATGGTTTAAAATTTCTATTAAAATTCTATTTAATTATTTTCATTTACAAAGCCCCTAGAGTGGAAAATATATATATATTTTGATTGATTTACTTCAAATAATTTTGAAAAATTCATTGAAAATCCCAAAACAATTGCATTCGGGGAGTGTTTGACTATGTTTGTGTGTTTAAATATATTTTCTAAATAAAATGACCGAAAAATATAAAAGATATAAATCAAAGTTTTTAACTGGGTGTGGTGTCCCCATAAATAATAAATAATTAAAATTGTAAGTATGTATTTGTTCAATGAAAAACTTTTTTTCTGTTTATTTAAAAATATTTGTTGATTTTTTGGATTAAATTTTATTATTTTGTTTTTGTCAAGTAAACAAACCCGAAAAAAATTAAAAAATGACTACTGATGACCTACAAATTTTTCTTAAACAAAAAAGTGCGTTCACACATATAAAAGTTTTTTTGTTGTACCCTACAGCACTATAATGGGGAGAGCATAGCATACAGCTAGCTTGGAATTGACCAAAACACCTTAAAAAAGACTTCTCTTGGGAAACTGAATTCTCTATATATAGACTACTCTGTAGTCTAATCTATAGACTACTCTATAGTCTAGTCTATAGTCTAGCCAATAGTGTAGTCTATAGTCTAGTCTATAGTCTGGTCTATAGTGTAGTCTAGTCTAGTCTATAGTCTAGTCTATAGTCTAGTCTATAGTCTAGTCTATAGTCTAGTCTATAGTCTAGTCTATAGTCTAGTCTATAGTCTAGTCTATAGTCTAGTCTATAGTCTAGTCTATAGTCTAGTCTATAGTCTAGTCTATAGTCTAGTCTATAGTCTAGTCTATAGTCTAGTCTATAGTCTAGTCTATAGTCTAGTCTATAGTCTAGTCTATAGTCTAGTCTATAGTCTAGTCTATAGTCTAGTCTATAGTCTAGTCTATAGTCTAGTCTATAGTCTAGTCTATAGTCTAGTCTATAGTCTAGTCTATAGTCTAGTCTATAGTCTAGTCTATAGTCTAGTCTATAGTCTAGTCTATAGTCTAGTCTATAGTCTAGTCTATAGTCTAGTCTATAGTCTAGTCTATAGTCTAGTCTATAGTCTAGTCTATAGTCTAGTCTATAGTCTAGTCTATAGTCTAGTCTATAGTCTAGTCTATAGTCTAGTCTATAGTCTAGTCTATAGTCTAGTCTATAGTCTAGTCTATAGTCTAGTCTATAGTCTAGTCTAGTCTAGTCTATAGTCTAGTCTATAGTCTAGTCTATAGTCTAGTCTATAGTCTAGTCTATAGTCTAGTCTATAGTCTAGTCTATAGTCTAGTCTATAGTCTAGTCTATAGTCTAGTCTATAGTCTAGTCTATAGTCTAGTCTATAGTCTAGTCTATAGTCTAGTCTATAGTCTAGTCTATAGTCTAGTCTATAGTCTAGTCTATAGTCTAGTCTATAGTCTAGTCTATAGTCTAGTCTATAGTCTAGTCTATAGTCTAGTCTATAGTCTAGTCTATAGTCTAGTCTATAGTCTAGTCTATAGTCTAGTCTATAGTCTAGTCTATAGTCTAGTCTATAGTCTAGTCTATAGTCTAGTCTATAGTCTAGTCTATAGTCTAGTCTATAGTCTAGTCTATAGTCTAGTCTATAGTCTAGTCTATAGTCTAGTCTATAGTCTAGTCTATAGTCTAGTCTATAGTCTAGTCTATAGTCTAGTCTATAGTCTAGTCTATAGTCTAGTCTATAGTCTAGTCTATAGTCTAGTCTATAGTCTAGTCTATAGTCTAGTCTATAGTCTAGTCTATAGTCTAGTCTATAGTCTAGTCTATAGTCTAGTCTATAGTCTAGTCTATAGTCTAGTCTATAGTCTAGTCTATAGTCTAGTCTATAGTCTAGTCTATAGTCTAGTCTATAGTCTAGTCTATAGTCTAGTCTATAGTCTAGTCTATAGTCTAGTTGATAGTCTAGTTGATAGTCTAGTTGATAGTCTAGTCTATAGTCTAGTTGATAGTCTAGTCTATAGTCTAGTTGATAGTCTAGTTGATAGTCTAGTTGATAGTCTAGTTGATAGTCTAGTCTATAGTCTAGTCTATAGACTAGTCTATAATCTAGTCTATAGTCTAGTCTAGTCTATAGTCTAGTCTATAGTCTAGTCTAGTCTATAGTCTAGTCTATAGTCTAGTTTATAGTCTAGTCTATAGTCCAGTCTATAGTTTAGTATTTCTTCTGTCTATCCATATAAACTCTGTGATCAAAGTATAGGGTATCATTAGATCGACATTATCTGAATTTATTTATATTTTATTACCGTGTCTATGTGTATCGCATTAAAAAGGGTTGTGGTCAGTCATTTTTTTGTGAGTAATTTTCCTTTTTGTTTATTTATTTACTTTTGTTGTCTCTACAATAAGTTAAAATGAAAACTTTATTACAAAAACAACTAATTTATTACACTGTTTATTGTAGCTGTTGCTGTTTAATGCAATTGACTTAGTTAACACTTTTCGAACCTAAAAAGCAGCAGGCATGTGAAACCAATTTTTCTAAACTAAACAATTTTTTATACAAAATGTGCCATACACTCAGAAAAATATATGGTTCTAAAACTATTTCGAGATATTTTACCATATAATGACAATTGTAATTATAGCTTTGGCAACTAATGAATTTTGCTTAAATGTTTGCTACAAGTAAAATAAGCTTACAGCATTATCCTTAAATTTGATATAGTAATTTCAGTGCGATTGCTATCAAATTATTTTTCTATGTGTACTTATTTAGTATAAGCCGCCATAAATTATAACTAAAATTTTAGCTAAAAATTTTTTGCTCTAAATCCTATCGCTTATAGTTCTTGTAATACTACTTTTAATTTAATGGAATTTATGTAGGATTTTTCCCATAATTATTTATGGGCTTTAATTATGTTGGCAGCTTACAACTTAAAGGGTTAATTACTCATCATTATGGTAAAAAAACAGCACTACACAACTACAGCAAGTACTTATGATACTTCTTAGTTGTAATAATAAAAAAATATTATATATTTTTTGAAAAAATCTACTCAAAAAACAGCATTCATATACAAAAACTCTCGTTCGTGTATAATAAAAATGCGTTCTGATGATGTGTTGTTTGTTCCCTTTTTAATTAAAGCGCAACGCCAACTTATAGTTGTTGAACTTAGACATTTATTTCCCGGTAGATAATGTTACGCTTTTCGTCAATATTTTATGCGAAAAATTTAAACTTTGACTCCGATCTTATCTAGTCTTCACAGTATAATGTAGTCTAGTATATAGACCAGACTATAGACAAGACTATAGACTAGACTAGACTATAAACTAGACTATAGACTAGACTATAGACTAGACTATAGACTAGACTATAGACTAGACTAGACTAGACTATAGACTAGACTATAGACTAGACTATAGACTAGACTATAGACTAGACTATAGACTAGACTATAGACTAGACTATAGACTAGACTATAGACTAGACTATAGACTAGACTATAGACTAGACTATAGACTAGACTAGACTAGACTATAGACTAGACTATAGACTAGACTATAGACTAGACTATAGACTAGACTATAGACTAGACTATAGACTAGACTATAGACTAGACTATAGACTAGACTATAGACTAGACTATAGACTAGGCTATAGACTAGGCTATAGACTAGACTATAGACTAGACTGTAGACTAGACTATAGACTAGACTATAGACTAGACTATAGACTAGACTATAGACTAGACTATAGACTAGACTATAGACTAGACTATAGACTAGACTATAGACTAGACTATAGACTAGACTATAGACTAGACTATAGACTAGACTATAGACTAGACTATAGACTAGACTATAGACTAGACTATAGACTAGACTATAGACTAGACTATAGACTAGACTATAGACTAGACTATAGACTAGACTATAGACTAGACTATAGACTAGACTATAGACTAGACTATAGACTAGACTATAGACTAGACTATAGGCTAAACTATAGACATTGATTATACTATGGATTAGACTATCGACTAGTCTGCAGTCTAGTCTATAGTCTAGTCTATGTTCTAGTCTATAGTCTGGTCTATAGTCTAGACTATAGTATATTCAACAGTCTGATTTATATTGTAGTCTATACTTAAAATCCCTGATTTGGGTTTGCCACTCCGAACTGCAGGGTAATTTTCAAACACACATACATTTTCATACTTCCATATATAAAAACTATATAAAACTATTAAGAAGAAAAAAAATTTGTAATGACGATGATGAAACTTTACATTAAACAAGTACAAGTTGATTCTTTCTTTCTGTTTTATAGTCATATGTACAGAATACATTCATAGTTCTCTTTCATATTTACACTACTCTACACTGTAAGTTGATAATTTAACAAGCACAGCATAATTATATTGCACTCACAAAGTATTTACATGGGCCACGAGGAGGGGGGAAGGTAACCTAATTAGTAAATGTCAACAGATATATGAAAAGTAAGTACTAATCGTACAAGTGGAAAAGGGCTTTTATTAATTACTTATAAGTAAAAGTTACATTAAAGAAGACTGCAGTTACATTATGGATTAAATGGCTGCTATACACCGCCTGCATTACTTAGTGGTAGATTGGTAATGATAGTTTTTAGTACTTATTTATTAGATATTATAAGAAATACATATGTTTTCTTTGGAACTTTCTATTGAAATATATTAAAAAAATTTGTTAACTTAATACATACCTTTGAACAGATTAGAAATTTATCTGAAAAGAAAGAAAATTATTAAAAATAATTAGTTAATTGATTTTCAAATTAGTCTAGTCATTTGTCCAGACTATAGTCAAGTCTGTAGATCAGATTATATACTAGCCTATAGTCTTGACTACAGCCTAGCCTATAGTTTCTAAACAATTCATTGTCTCCCTCTAGGCTATACTTCCTTGTGTAAACAAGGAACAATCTTTTTCATTTTCAAAATCGAGGACAAGAGGGAACTTGAGAGGTTAGTTAGGCATATTAAAAGATTCAAAACAATAAACATTAAAAACCAAACATTAACAACAACTACTGCAACTACTACTTACGACCAACGACAACATTTAGTTTGTTAGTTAAGTTTGTTTTCAAAATTAACAGTTTGCTAAACGTTTCAATACCCTATAAATTAATCCGCTTTACAACAAGTACATGAAATAGCAACAACACCAAGGGACTCATATAAAAACACACCCATTTTCATTATTATCATGTTAGCACGACACTCATTCCTAGAATAAGAATTTAGTGGTCAATGGCTGGGAGGTCGATTAAAATTGTATTTCATAAAACTTAATTTGTATTAAATTGTATTTACAAGCTTTCACACATTCACATACACATTAATATAAATACAAATAGATAAATTGTTTTTGCGGAGGAGGGGCGGAGATCGACAAAAGAACATTTTAATTGATTTTCCAAAAAGTGATTTACAAATAGAAATTCAGCCCCATGAAAACAGGGGAAGAAGGATAGGTAATTGAAGGACATTCATTACTATTGCATTGGATAATAATTAAATAATACTGTTTTAAATACAAAAACAAAAAAAAAAACAAATAATTAAATATTATTAGATGGCTCCGCGGATTTTGTCGAAAATAAAATAGCACCAGTCTATGCTATATATTACATTAAAAAGTCTGTAAATCGTTTTTAGGCATCAGCCTATTATTCAACATTTATACTCGTTTTAATGAAGGCAGGCCAGTGCATGCTTAAGCTTGTAATTATACATCAATAATATAATTAAAATTAAATTATTATTTCAAAAGGACTTAAAGGATTTTAATTAGCGAACTATTAATTAATAAATGAACAAATATTTACGTACTTAAACAGCTTCAAATGTACAACATATAATAAAAAATGCTATAGTCCAGACTATAGACTGACTAAATGAAATATAATCCAACCTGCATACTGCCTATATTCCAGACTACAGACTTACTATAGTCCTTACGATAGAGTGATTATAGTTCGAAACCTAGTCTATAGATTGAATATAGTCCAGAATATTGACTGATATTAGTCCAGAATATTGACTGACTATAACTCAGTCTACAGACTGACGTTAGTTCAGACTATAGACTCACAATAGTCTAGACTATAGAATGAAGATAGTCCAGACTATAGACTGACTATAATCTAATCTATAGACTAACAATAGTCCAGACTATAGACTGACAATAGCAGAGACTCTATTCCAGACTATACACTGACTATAGTACAGATTGTAGACTGACTATAGTCCAGACTATAGACTGACTATAGTACAGATTATAGGCTGACCATAAATTGACAATAGTGAAGACTATAGTCCAGACTACAAATTGACTATAAGCCAGACTATAGACTGCCTATAGTCAGAACTATAGACTGACAATAGTCGAGACTAAAGAATGAATATAGTGCAAATTATAGACTGACTTTACACCAGAATATACACTGACTATAGTCCAGACTATAGACTAACTGCAATCCAGACTATAGACTGACTATAGTCCAGACCCCAGACTGACAATAGTTCAGAATATGGTCTAACTTGTATATATAATCCAAATTATAGACCAACTATGAGCCAGGCTACAGACTGACTAAAGCCCAGCCTATAGACTGACTATAGTCCAGAATATAAACAGGCTATAGTCCAGACTATAGACTGACTATAGTCCAGACTATAGACTGACTCTAGTCCAGACTATAGACTGACTCTAGTCCAGACTATAGACTGACTCTAGTCCAGACTATAGACTGACTATAGTCCAGACTATAGACTGACTATAGTCCAGACTATAGACTGACTCTAGTCCAGACTATAGACTGACTCTAGTCCAGACTATAGACTGACTCTAGTCCAGACTATAGACTGACTCTAGTCCAGACTATAGACTGACTCTAGTCCAGACTATAGACTGACTATAGTCCAGACTATAGACTGACTATAGTCCAGACTATAGACTGACTCTAGTCCAGACTATAGTCCAAACTATAGACTGACTCTAGTCCAGACTATAGACTGACTCTAGTCCAGACTATAGACTGACTCTAGTCCAGACTATAGACTGACTCTAGTCCAGACTATAGACTGACTCTAGTCCAGACTATAGACTGACTCTAGTCCAGACTATAGACTGACTCTAGTCCAGACTATAGACTGACTCTAGTCCAGACTGTAGACTGACTCTAGTCCAGACTATAATCCAAACTATAGACTGACTATAGTCCAGACTATAAACTGACTATAGTCCAGACTATAGACTGACTCTAGTCCAGACTATAGACTGACTCTAGTCCAGACTATAGACTGACTCTAGTCCAGACTATAGACTGACTCTAGTCCAGACTATAGACTGACTCTAGTCCAGACTGTAGACTGACTCTAGTCCAGACTATAATCCAAACTATAGACTGACTATAGTCCAGACTATAAACTGACTATAGTCCAGACTATAGACTGACTATAGTCCAGAAAATAGACTGACTATAGTCTAGAAGATAGACTGACTATAGTCCAGGCAATAGTCCATATTGTAGTACAAACTATAGTCCGGAGCTATAGCTCCGACTTTCAGATTGTTTGGTGTAACAAGATTTGATGTAATAGTTATATGCTATGGTGGTATTTTCCCTTTTTGATATTTGGAAAAAACATCAGCAGGATTCTAAAATTTCCAGCCTATATAACAACATGAGTTCCCTGCATGTCAACAAAATCCAATTCTAAGCTTTAATGCCTTAACTAGATTTACATATGTGAAAACTACTCCCCCTCCTCCCCACAAAAGGCAATTCAGTTTTCCCTTTTTTTTAGAATCTCAACAAGTAACAGCTGTGTATTCATTAATGTTGGTTTTATTTCAAATTATAATTCTTTAGAATTTTGGTTAAAAATTAAAAAAAATAAAATAACAAATACATATTTTTTTTTGAGGTTATTTCGCATATTCCACATGTTGAACTAATTAAACATTGAAAATTGTAGAACTTTAGCTCCTCTAGTTTTTTTACAGTTAGGTTGTATTTGATGTAGGTTCATTATGGTATTGGAGGAGGGATTGTTTGGTGGAACCATAACAACCAACCAAACCATCAACAACATCACATGTTATGGAGAAGTTTATTTCAGTTTCGTTTTTTTTGTTTTTTGTAAGTTTTTCTAGATAAATAAATTGACTTCAATTCTGGGAAAAAACTATAATTTTTGTTGTTGTGTTATTGGCTTCGTTTATTTTATGTTCTAAAATCGTATGAAAAAAAAAAACCTAAAAAGAATTGAAAGACTAAAGGAAAATTGTATATATTGTATAATGTTCATATGGATGGATGGATGTATATGTGGAACTGCCATATGTTGGCAAATGTGTTAATTGATGAAAATTGAAAATATTTTACAATTTTATACTCAATGGTCTTGAATAACAATAAAAGTACAGAAAATATCGAGTGCAAAATTGAAAAGGAAGAGAAAAACAATAAATGAAATTCTTATAGAATTTTAATTTAAGTTAGTTTAACTATTATCATTTCTGTGGTTAGTATACAAACTGGAATTTTCACATATTTATAGGGTTTTTCATAGGAAATAAAAATTTTAAATAAAAACTGAAGTTTTAAAGTGATAATTATCGTCAGATTAACTTCTTGGAACCAAATACCAAATTCATACGAAGATACTATAGTCTGATCTATAGTCTCGAATATAGTCTGGTCCATAGTCTTGACTATACTCTGGTCCATAATCTTTTCTACAGAATAGTCTATAGTCTATAGGTCTATAGCCTTGATTATTGTCTGGCCCATAGTCTCGACTATAGTCTAGCTTATAGTTTTGACTATAGTCTAGCTTATAGTCATGACTGTAGTCTGCCATAGACTTGACTATAGTCTGGTCTATAGTCTTGTCTATAGTGTTGACTGTAGTCTTGACTATAGTCTTGACTGTAGTCTAGCTTATAGTTTTGACTATAGTCTTGACTATAGTCTGGTCTATTGTCTTGACTATAGTCTGGTCTATAGTCTTGTCTATAGTATTGACTATAGTCTTGACTACAGTCTGGTCTATAGTCTGGTCTATAGTCTGGCCTATAGTCTGGTCTATAGACTGGTCTATAGTTTGGTCTATAGTCTGGCCTATAGTCTGGCCTATAGTCCGGTCTATGGTCTGTCCTGTAGTCTTGACTATAGTCTGGTCTATAGTCTTGACTATGGTCTGGTCTATAGTCTTGACTATAGTCTGGTCTATAGTCTTGACTATAGTCTGGTCTATAGTCCGGTCTATGGTCTGTCCTGTAGTCTTGACTATAGTCTGGTCTATAGTCTTGACTATGGTCTGGTCTATAGTCTTGACTATAGTCTGGTCTATAGTCTTGACTATAGTCTGGTCTATAGTCTTGACTATAGTCTGGTCTATAGTCTTGACTATAGTCTGGTCTATAGTCTTGACTATAGTCTGGTCTATAGTCTTGACTATAGTCTGGTCTATAGTCTTGACTATAGTCTGGTCTATAGTCTTGACTATAGTCTGGTTTATAGTCTTGACTATAGTCTGGCCTATTGTCTTGACTATAGTCTGGTCTATAGTCTTGACTATAGTCTGGTCTATAGTCTTGACTATAGTCTGGTCTATAGTCTTGACTATAGTCTGGTCTATAGTCTTGACTATAGTCTGGTCTATTGTCTTGACTATAGTCTGGTCTATAGTCTTGTCTATAGTCTTGACTAT